GTACTTTATCGCACTTTTACGATCTCAAAAGTTAATCTGAATCTTCAGTATTTCTACCTCATCGAAATTTGGAAGTATGAAGTCCAGGGATGAAATCCTATAAAAAATATTTGGAATATTAACGTCGGGTTTTGGTCACACCAAGATCACAAGCAAAGAACCTTGAAACACAGAAACTCACAAAACGGATCGAAATCCACCAATCACAAATCACAAAGAATGACCTTTTGAACCCGTTAAAGTAAACTTTCGTTTCCCAAGAGGTCCCCTAAGATGATTGGCGTATGACATTAATTTGACGAGAGGATCGAAATGCATCAATCATAGAAAGACAGCTTTAGTTTATATAACATAACATATAACATCAAACATCTGATAACACTGTTATATAACAGTATATACAGCTATTTCAATAAAGGTTGTCGGATAAAGTACACGCGACAACCCCGAAATGTATTGTGTGTGGTCTTGAGTTTACTGTTTTTCAAAGAAATTTGAAACAATGGCATGAGAGGCCATGAAAAAATGTCTGCGAGTGCTAAACGAAAGTAAAAAAAGTAGGTTCGACAGCTACAGTGTCAGGAACATTGCATTGATCATATCCCATATCACCTTTCGGGGTTGTCGCGTGCACATTTTTTCCGACAACCTTTCTCGAAATAGCTGTATACTGTTATATAACAGTATATATAACTGTTATATGACGTATAACAGTTATATAACAGTTATATAACTGTCATATAACAGTTATAACAGTATTATAAACAAATAATAGCATGATTTGTACTTGATATTTGGCATAAATACCACTAGTGATATTTCAAAATTGTCTCAAATTTCACTCGCCTAACGGCTCGTGAAATTACGTATAACAATTTTGAAATATCACTCTTGGTATTTATGCCAAATATCACTACAAATCATGCTATTACCTATACATATACTGTTATATTACAGTGTTAACAGTTATATGACAGCAGACATCCGCTGTCTTTAGCAGACACCTACTGTCATATGACTGTTATCAGACGTCTGATATTAGACATGAGACGTCTAATAACAGTTATATAAGATAAGATAAAACATCAACGCCTGATAACAGTTATATAACATAACATATAAAATCAGACGTCTGATAACAGTTATATGACAGCAGATGTCTGATAACACTTATATAACATAACATATAACATCAGACGTCTGATAACAGTTATATGACAGCAGATGTCTGATAACACTTATATAACATAACATATAACATCAGACGTCTGATAACAGTCATATAACATAACTTATAAAATCAGACGTCTGATAACAGTTATGTAAAACAACATATAACATCAGACGTCTGATAACAGTTTTATGACAGCAGACGTCTGATAACAACTGTAATATAACTGTTAGTAGGCGTCTGACATCATATAACTGTTATCAGACCTCTGATGACAGTTGCATAACAGAACATGTAAAATCAGACGTCTGATAACAGTTATATAACATAACATATAACATCAGACGTCTGAAAACAGTTATATGACAGCAGACGTCTGCCATCAGACGTCTGATAACAACTGTAATATAACTGTAATATAACTGTTAGTAGACGTCTGACATCATATAACTGTTAACAGACCTCTGATGACAGTTATATAACATAACATATAAAATCAGAAATCAGATGTCTGATAACAGTTATATAACAAAACATATAAAATCAGACGTCTGATAACATTTTTATGACAGCAGACGTCTAATAACCGTTATATAACATATCATATAACATCAGACATCTGACAACACTGTTATATAACAGTATATATAGTGTTATATAACAGTATATATAACTGTTATATCACATATAACAGTTATATAACTGTTATATAACAGTTATATAACAATCATAAGTGTCATATAACTGTCATATAACAGTTATATATACTATCATATAACAGTATATATACTGTTATATAACAGTGTTATCAGATGTCTGATTTTATATGTATATATATATGATGTTATTTAACTGTATATATATACTGTTAAATAACCGTGTTATATAACAGTGTTATCCGTTATAACTGTTATATAACAGTTATTTATACTGTTATATAACAGTATATAGTTATATATACTGTTATATAACAGTATATATACCAGTTATATAACTGTATATATAACAGTTATATAACTGCTATATATACTGTTATATAACTGTTATATAACAGTGTTATCAGTTATATAACAGTTATATATACTGTTATATAACAGTATATTTTTTGTATGTTATATATGCTGTTATATAACAGTTATATAACTGATAACATATATGTATATTTTTTGTATGCTATATATGCTGTTATATAACAGTATATAACAATATATACTGTTATATAACAGTATTATCAGATGTCTGCTGTTATATGCTATGTTATATAACAGTGTCAACAGTTATATATACTGTTATATAACAAAATATATCAGTTATATAACTGTTATATACTGTCATATAACAGCATATATAACATACAAAACATACATAATCAGACGTCTGATAACAGTTATATGACAGCAGATTTCTGCTGTCATATGACTGTTATCACACGTCTGATGTCTGATTTTATGTTTTATTTATGTTTTCCTAAGAGGTCATCTGAATTCGCATCCTTGGAGACCCAGGGGCAGTCAGTCGGGCTGGCTTAAAAGGCACGACGAACGTTTTCAAACATGGGCGGAAGAACCCCTGGGTACCGACTCTCACCAGACCATTTCCAAACGGTCAAGAGAATGCTGGTTCCTGATTGAACACAAAAAATGCTTTGTATTATGGTGCCCGATCGGCGAAGAGTCTCTCCAGAGTTCTTTTCGTGAGTTCGTACACGATGGCTATTATCCCGCCACAGTTGCCCAGTTCGTTCACCAAACTTTCCTAACCCATCCTCGGAGACCCAGGGGCGGTCAGTCGGGCCGCGGGAAGAGGCACGACAAAGGTTTTCAAGCACAGGCGGAAAAGCCCCTGGGTACAGACTCTCATCGGACCATTTCCAAACGGTCAAGCGAATGCTGGCTCCTGATTGGGCACAGAAAATGCTTTGTATTATTGTGCCCAATCGGCGAACAGCATCTCCAGAGTTCTTTTCGTGAGTTCGTACACGACGGCTATTGACTCGATCACGGCTTGTCTTACTCATGCACCAAAGAAATGAACGCAATCAGGAATCTTTCAGTTTGATATAAACGCTACATTTCAAAATACTGGTAGTCTTTACACTGGAGCCCAAATAAGCTAAGAAATATTTCAAGACAAGTAAATTTTAAATTATTCAAGTAAATAAAAATGGTCCAATAATACACACGCATTTTTGGTTAAGTAAAACTTAGCAGCTCTTAAGTCTTACTTAACAGCCTAGTGTAAAGACAACCGAAACAGGAAAACTTAAGACGCTTTTCCAAAAATACAAGCTTGAGCTTACAACAGGTATTCACGCTTAGGGAGTTTAATATGCCACCACAGCTGACAACCACGAAAACGTCGCATGAAGAGTGAACTCACATTTTTTTCAGTCTCTATCGTGATTATTGCAACTCACTTACTTTGTCAAATGCAAACTCTTCTGGAGATGAATTTCTATCGACCATATCCATGTTCATAAAAAGATAGAAAATTTTGTCATTGCTTGTTTACGTCCTTCACAAAACGTGAAATTAGGCATTTTCAAGTGGTAGTCGTGCAGTGACGGCCAAGAAATATACAAAGAATCTTGATGCACGTGCAAAGTTGTTGTTTTGCCTTGTCAAGCTATTGCTTTTCTTACTTTCTCGTCGCCGCTTTATCTTACACTTCCTATTATTTACGATAGATTGTGATCCGTCAGAAACAGAATTTTCTCAGTGCAAATTGAATTGCTGCTGCTGATAGCATCCGGGACGTTTTTCGACTCATCGGCAGTTCCTTTGTTTCTGGTTAGGAAAGCTTGGTGAACGAACTGGGCAACTGTGGCGGGATAATAGCCGTCGTGTACGAACTCACGAAAAGAACTCTGGAGATGCTGTTCGCCGATTAGGCACAATAATACAAAGCATTTTTTGTGCCCAATCAGGAGCCAGCATTCGCTTGACCGTTTGGAAATGGTCCGATGAGAGTCGGTACCCAGGGGCTTTTCCGCCTGCGCTTAAAAACCTTTGTCGTGCCTTTTCCCCCGGCCCGACTGACCGCCCCTGGGTCCCCGAGGATGCTGAATTTGCTGTTTTCTTTATCTTATGTCCATTTTCTTTTCCTTTTTTTGTGATTGGTCGATTTTGTTAGGTCGAATGGATAATCCAATGAGGGACGATTTGGATAACGTTCGATCCGAAATTTTTCGAAGCAGTTTGGACAACATTTGGACACGGCGTTTCGAGGAACGTGTTGATATATTGTTCAATTATGTTATCCCGGGTTAAACTTACAAATGCGGACATTGTTCGCGGTAGGCCCACACTAAAAAGTAACACTGAGTGTTTTCGGAATGAGCTAGTCCACGAACTCAAAGAAAAACAAAGGAAATTATCAAGACATTCAATGACATCAAAGACTCATGGACCCCATAGACGCAATGACAAATCAGAATATCAGGAGTGTACGTGTAAAATGGATGAGAGTTTGAAAAGAGGAATGTTTAACAAGTTTCAGAGTCGCAAGATGGTTATTCAACTTTTTTACCAACGGATGTTCTACTGTTCCATCGTAAGCTGTTCTACTGTTCCACAATGAGATGTCCCACTGTTCCACCACGATTGTTCCACTGTTCCACTATCAGATGCTTTACTGTTCCCCCATCAGATTTTCCACTATTCCACCATCAAATATTCCACTCTTCCACCATGAGATGTTCTAATTTTTTAACCTATCTGTTTCACTGTTCCACTTTCAGATGTTCTACTATTCCACCATGATTTTTCCAATGTTCCACCATAATTGTTCCACTGTTCAACAATCACATGTTCCACCTTTCCACCATCAGATGTTCTACTGTTACATCATAAATTATTCTACTGTTCCACCATCAGATGTTCCATTCTTCCACTATGAGATGTTCTACTGCTCCATCATGATTGTTCCACGCTTCCACCATCAGATGTTGTACTGTTCCACTATATATGTTACATTGTTCCACCATCAGATGCTCCATTGTTTAACCATTAGATGATCCACTGTACCACCGTGATTATTCAACTTTTTTACCAACGGATGTTCTACTGTTCCATCGTAAGCTGTTCTACTGTTCCACCATGAGATGTTCTACTGTTCCACCATGATTATTCCACTGTTCCACTATCAGATGGTTTACTGTCCCCCCATCAGATTTTCCATTGTTCCACCATCAAATATTCTAATCTTCCACCATGAGATGTTCTAATTTTTTAACCTGTCTGTTTCACTGTTCCCCTTTAATATGTTCTACTGTTCCAGCATGATTCTTCCACTGTTCCATCACCAGATGTTCTTTTGTTCCACCAAAATTGTTACACTGTTCCACTATTAGATGTTCTACTGTTCCAAAATCACATGTACCACAGTTCCACCATCAGATGTTCCACTATGAGATATTCTACTGTTCCACCATGATTGTTTCACTGTTCCACCATCAGATGTTAAACTGTTTTACCAATAGCTGTTCCCCTTTTCCACCATCAGATCTTCTACTATTCCAACAGCTCTGTTCCACTGTTCCACCATCAGATGTTCCACACTTCGACCAAAAGATGGTCCACTGCTCCATCATCACATGTTGTATTTTTCCACTATTTCTGTTCCAAAGTTCAACCATCAGATGTTTTCACTGTTTTACCATTAGATCTTTCACTGTTCCACCATGATTGTTCCACTGTTCCACCATCAGATGTTTCACTGTTACACCATGAGGTGTTCTACTGTTCCACCATGATTGTTTCAGTGTTTCACCATCACACGTTCTCCTGTTCCACTATCAAATATTCCACTCTTCCAAAATGAGATCTTCTACTTGTTGATCATTTATTTCACTGTTCCGCTTTCATATGTTCTACTGTTCAACTATGATTGTTCCCTTGTTCCACCATCAAATGTTCTTTTGTTCAACCATGATTATTCCCGTGTTCCACCATCAGATGTTCTTTTGTTCAATCATGATTGTTCCACTTTTCCACCATCAGATGTACTACTGTTCTATCATAAAATGTTCTACTGTTCCACAATGAGATGTTGTATTGTTCCACCATGAGATGTTGTACTGTTGCAAAATAAAATATTCTACTATTCCAACATCTCTGTTCAACCGTTCCAGCATCAGATGTTCCACTGTTCCACCATCAGATATTTCACTCTTCCACCATAAGGTGTTCTACTGGTCCACCATGATCGTTTCAACGTTCCACGAGGAGCCGCAAGCAGTGATATTTTTGCACGGCATCTGGCGGCACATCAAAGAATTTGGAATTGAAGGGCAAATTCCTAGAATATCTTCGCCGGTTAAGTTAGAGAAAAGGTGTTAAAAAAACCTCAGGATCCTAAACAACACGCCAATCAAAATATCACTTGGACCTTTTCGCTAATGAAGAGCTATCACGCGGCTAAGCTTGAATTAGACACATATTGAAATAGGAACTCGTGTCAATAAAGTATCAGAAGTGAGTGGCAATCGCTCCTGGTTAAAAAACTGGTTCACAGGGATATGCATCTCTTCTAGTTAAGAGAAAGGAATCAGGGCTGCTTTTCATGCAGGAACAGGTTTTCTTCGGGCTAACTACAAAACTTCAGCTTATTTTACTCCCTGACATTGTCAAAGCGCGTTTTGTAAAGATAACTTTTTCCGCTTCATCAGTTTTTTTTATATTCTATTCCATTAATGTTCAACCTCCCTCAAAAAGCCAAATAATATAAATGCTGTTGTTAAAAAAAGCGTTTTACCTGTTTTCGTGAATTCGCTACCCAAAGATCACTATGCTCAAAAGACGGGGCAAAATTTCCAGGAGAGAGGCATTAATTTTTTTTTCCCACGAGGTTACAAACAGAAAGTGCAATGATTATTATTAACGTAACCTTCAGGTATGTTCTACCCACGAGGTTACAGAGAGCAAATGCAGTAACAATTATTAGATTTTAGTGCAACTATCAGGTTGAGTTCCTCAATTAAAAGAGTTTTTTGCCAGGGTTAAACAAGTTTGGCTTTCATGAGTTTCAAGGTGCAAATTGTAAATTGTAAATATCTTATTTTCCACTCCCCACAGGGCTTTTCAGGGATAATTTACAACACTGGTTGGGGGACTTTGCCAGACTGCTTAAGGTGCAGTTTACAAGTACTGAAGGAATGAGTGATGATGCCCCCATACATGAGTGTGAAAGTGAGATAGACCACTACACCGGGCACTACGTGCCCTACTCTTTACGAAG